AAATTTCGCATGGGACGCGATGCTTCTGAAAACTGGTGTTGGAATAGAACAATTGCATGACCAAGAAATGTTTGAGATGGTTGAAAAGGGAATGAGAGGAGGAATGTGTCAGGTTAGTCATAAATTAGCAGTGGCAAATAATAAGTATATGGGGGAAGCATATGATGAGAACAAGCCATCAAATTATATTAGTTACTTGGATGCTAACAACTTGTATGGTTTAGCAATGTCCCAGAAGTTACCGCTAAAAAATATCAAGTGGGCAAAGAAAACGCCCAGTGTTGAAAATTGGAATGAAAACGATGAGTTTGGTTTTATTATGGAAGTTGATTTGGAATATCCCGAAACATTGCACGACTTCCACTCCGACTATCCACTAGCACCTGAAATAATGAATGTAAATGTGCATATGCTTTCCGATTATCAAAAGCAAGTCTTCAAAATATATTATGATGGAAAAACTCCGAAGGACGAGAAAACAAGAAAGTTAATATTAAATCTAAAGGATAAAGAAAAATATGTGGTTCATATCAAGACTTTACAGTATTATTTGAAAATGGGATTGAACATGACCAAAGTCCATAGGATAATAAAATTTCAACAGAGGGCATGGTTGAAACCGTGGATTGACTTCAACACTGGTAAAAGGAAAGAAGCCAAAAGCGATTTTGAGAAAGATTTATTCAAATTAATGAACAACGCGGTGTATGGAAAAACAATGGAGGACAAAAGAAACCATATGGACTTTGAACTGGTGGATAACGAAGTTAGATATGAACCATGTGTGAATAACCCAACATTCAAAAACAGATTTACTATAAATGAAAATCTGGTAGGAGTTGAAAAAACTAAAGCGAAACTGAAATTGGATAAACCGATTTTCCTGGGAATGAGCATTTTAGATTTAAGCAAATTACATATGTATCAGTTTTACTATGATGTCCTTAAGAAAAATACAATGAAAACATAAAACTGGTTTATACTGATACTGACAGTTATGTAATTCAAACAATGACTGATGATGTCTATAAGGATTTCAATGAGATAAAGCAACACATGGATTTTAGCGACTATCCACCTGAACATCCATGCTTTGACAAAACTAATAAAAGGTCTTAGGAATGTTTAAGGACGAAGTGAATGGAAAAATCATTACTAAATTCATTGGCTTAAAACCTAAATCATATGCCTTCACAATTCACGGTGAGGATGATGAGCATAAGAAATCAAAAGGTGTAGTGAAACGTATCAGAACTATCACGAAGCATTATTTCAAAACAAAAAACACGAAATCACATATAATTTTATTAGGAGTAAGTCACATCAAATATATTCAATGTCTCAAGTCAAGCAATCTCTCAGTAATTATGAAAATAAAAGGATTTATATTGATGCTTTCAATTCACTGCCTTATGTACATTACGCTATTACAAAGTAATAGCCTAATGAGCTTCGCGACATTACTCCATAAAATAATTACCTAAATAGTTCTAATAATATGAAATTATTAGAATTATTTTCAGGGACAGGGTCGGTTGGTCGGGTTAGCTTGTTTGATGGGTGGTTGATGTGTGATGGGTTGTGTTTGGTTGAAGGCGTGTGAGGCATCAACAGCATCATAAAAACCCAGCATCACCAGCAACCAGCATCATCAGCATTGAAGCAAAATAAGGGTCGGTTGTTGCCTGATGGCTGATGCCAGTAAAAAAAACTATCCATTCCATAATCAACCCTCCCTTTTCAGCAAGGAGTGGTGGGTATGCTTATCTCTCCTTGACCCATTCGCTCCCCACTCACTCCTTGCTCGGACAGGATGGGTGACATAAATGGTCACCCAGACCGAATTACGATTACGGAATGGATAGTAAAAAAGAAAAATAGCCGCCAACCCCCTTATCAGATGCAAGACGCTTTTAGCGTCGCACATCCGATTAACATTGTTGTTCTCATTTTTTCTAGATACACGGAGGTTCATTCCCAATTTCCCGCAGGAAAGAGATAATGACCCTCCTAAACAGAAAGGGGTTGTAAAACTGTTTGCCCAAATTCAAAAAAAGAAAAGTGGTCTGATAATCGCTTCTCTTCTCTTTCTTTCCACAGGCCAATGTCAGCAAGCGCACAGACCTCCTTTTTCCAAAGGTGACGCAACTGTTGAAATGCTTGGAGTGTTCCCACCTTACCCTTTTGTCATTCCCAACAGGGGAGAGAGCAAACCATTGGTCAAACCAAACAACTCTTGCTGGTGACGTACGTTTCCCTCATTTCAGGGGGAAAGGTTCCCTCATTTTAGGGGGAAAGTTTCCCTCATTTTAGGGGGAACGTTTCCCTCATTTTAGGGGGAAAGTTTCCCTCATTTTGGGGGGGGGAAGTTCCCTTGTTTTAGTGCATACTGTCCCTGATTGGATGGGTCTCTCTCCCACACTGTGCTCGTTGGAGATGACTTTGAACTGTGCTCTATGCTACAAATCAGCACATGACACAGGCAGACGCATTTGGTGGCAAATCATTGCTCACCACCTGTTGCTCCAACTCCATCTGTCGCTTCATCACCTCACGGCTCACCAGCTTCGCAAACTCCTGGTTATCCAGACGGATGCTACCAGAAGAGAAGACACTGAACTCATCGGCGTAAAAGGAGCAAACCTCTGCTGTCATCTCTTCACGGAGACAAGCCAAGGCTTTGGAAGACCTCTCCAATGACTTCAGCGGTGGATAGACCACCTGTGAAATCCGCACGACTTTCTCTTCAGAAGTGCCTTTCTTGCCAGTCTTATCCTCAAGCATCTCCTGCACCAAGAGTAGCTCATCCATGGAAAGGCGACGCACTGCCATCTGGAAAATCTGACAGCCGTTTGCCTTCAACATCTTCGCCTCGTTAATCATACCTTTGTAGGTGGCGATGACCTGTTTGAACTCATTGATGAAGTCTTCGCCCTCTGGCACTTTGGTCTTGATGATGCTCTCCTTCATCGCACGCTTGAGGTCATCCACGGCGTCGCACTTCTTCACGAAGGTCTTGCGGGTCTGTCTGAAGAGCCCACCGCCAGACAACTTGGGTCGGATGTCCAGCGTGTCACCCTCCTTCATCATGATGGAGCTCACGCTCTTGTATCCCACCACCTGACTGTCCTTGAGGAAGAGACCGAGGTTCTTGTCGTCGCCCACGTGAATGCCGTGCTCCTCCTTGATGTTGATGTAGAGGTCGCTGAAGGTGTTGTGCTTCTCAATGGGGAATGTGAGCCGCATCATGCCTTTCTCGGTGTCCATCATCACGAACGCCTCCTTGACCTCGCCGTCCTTGGAACTGGAAGCACCGCTGGGGTTGTTGTCCTTGTCCTGCTTCTCCTTCTTGGTCTTCTTGGTCTTCTTGGTCTTCTTGGACTTCTTGTCCTTGTCGTCGTCATCATTGCCGTCTTGGTTCTGGTCGGGATAACCACCGCCTTGCTGGTTCGGGGCATCACCTCCGTCATTGTCAACATCCGTGGCGGTGATGATGGAGTTCTCCACCACGCCCTGCGACCCGAGCTCGGTCCTTCCCGTGACACCACCCAAGACAGTGTCGCCCAAGCGGAAGGTGAGCCTTTTGAGCATCTTCCCCGTCGTGAAGACTGTTGGGTGAGAGCGCTGGAGTACCTCTCGGAGCTGCTTCACTTTGTTCTGCTTGTTGATGAAGACCTCATAGTAAGGACCACTGTACCGTACCACCACCCGCATCTGTGCGAGTTTCTCCATCGCCTTCGCCTTGGCTTTGCCGCCTTGGACAGCTTGCTCTTTGCTTTTGCTGCCACCTTTGCTTGTGCTTTTTGGATAGAGTCCTTCTTGCTCTTTACCAACAAAAAGCGGGCCTGCAACTCCTTTGCGACCTCCTTTGCCTCCTCGGCTTTCTCACTCCATCCTTGCTCAAGGTGTGTCAGCTCAAGAAGGGACAACTCTTGAACCGCCTCCGTGAGACGCTCAATGTCAACGTCGTCTTCAAAGAGCGTATCGTCCACATCGGGCTCTTCCTCCTCCGACCCTTCGGATTCACTCTCGCTTTCCTCAACCATGTCCTCTGACAACGCTTCTGCCAAAGCGACCTGCTCATCTACATCATTCTCTGTCGTTGGCACTTCTTCCAAAGTGCCCTGCTCGCTCTCTTCATCATTCACACGCTTTGGCGCCATGACTGGAAGCAATGCGTGGAGATGCTACACTCAAAAGCTTGGAAGGATGCTAATATTGCAATCCATTTGAGACGAAAAAGTCATCAAGTCAAACAACATTCAGCATCAATCAGGTCTTCAAAGCAACTGTCAACTGAGCGGTCAAATGCTAACTGAATGCTATGCGTCTGACTGTCACAGCATAACCACGAGGCGGTGCGAACGACCGAATTCGTGGGACGAACGAGAACAAAAACAAATACACCACCAACACCCCAGAACTTGATAACTACTAAAAGGGCTAACTCTTTCAAATGAAAAAAATATCGGCCCCCAGCCCAACAATGAACAAGGGGGGCAATTACCCAAATGATTACCTTAACGAAAACGATAAATAATCTCCCCAAAACACCCCTTTCAAAAACGAATAAGGGGGAACACAGATTTGAGATTAACATAAAAACCAGAACAGGCAACCATCAACAGGCCACCCCCCGGGCTCCCCCTTTTTACCATTTTTTTTTTGGGGGGGGGTTGTCAAAGTGATGGGCACATATTTGGAACCTTTCTTTGAAGGTATGGCTGAAGAGATCTAGTTTTTCGCGATGTGGGGCACGCCGGGTTTCGAGGCCAAACCAACTGTCTGAAAACACGTGCCATTGGAGTACGAGGTCCTGATACCATCCGTGTCAAATGTATACTGCTCACATTGCCCATTAGGGCCAAATGCCTGGTACCACACATTGGGGGATGTCCCAGAACCGGAAACAGAAGAGAAGATCTCTCTTTCAGCTTTCCTTGAATACCAGACGCTGGTTAGGACACGCGTTCATGGCTTGCGTTGTGCCCTGCTCGCAGGCGACTTTGGGCGGCAGCCCGACTTTGGGCAAGGCGAGGGCCACAGTCACGGTGGGCTTTTTTGGGGACCCCTGCAAGCGGATGGATGTCTTGGAAAGTCAGCCCAGAAAGAATCCCTAAGTTCTGGAAGCTCACTTGAGTCTCTTCAACAAGGCTTTAACTTTCAAAAATTCCTTGCGAAATGCACACCCTGCAGCAGCACTCTTATTCGCTTGTTTGGAACAACACACTTCAACCACACCATCCCAACTATCACAGCGTTCACTTCATAGCGCACCAGTTTTTCGCCCTTTGCTAAAGGTTGCCGTGAGTGGAGGCATCAATGTGACTTCCACAATTTTTGCGGAGCTTCGTGAGCATGAGCGCAGGCGCACTTGCTGCACTTGGACCCCCCGACAAGCCCGCGTTTTCTCCCCCAATTGCCTGCAACTTCGCAGCACACACACACCCACACACACTCACTCCCTCCCTCCCTCCCTCCCTCCCTCCCTCCCTCCCTCCCTCCCCCCTCCCCTCCCTCTCCCCCTCCCCCTCCCCTCCCCCTCCCCCTCCCCCTCCCCCTCCCCCTCTCCCCTCCCCTCTCCCTCTCCCTCTCCCTCTCCCTCTCTCCCTCTCCCTCTCCTCTCCCTCTCCCTCTCCCTCCTCCCTCTCCCTCTCCCTCTCCCTCTCCCTCTCCCTCTCCCTCTCCCTCTCCCTCTCTCTCCCTCTCCCTCTCCCTCTCCTCTCTCTCCATCTCCATCTCCTTCTCCATCCATCTCCATCTCCTCTCCATCTCCATCTCCATCTCCATCTCCATCTCCATCTCCATCTCCATCTCCATCTCCATCTCCATCTCTCCATCTCCATCTCCATCCATCTCCATCTCCATCTCCATCTCCATCTCCATCTCCATCTCCATCTCCATCTCCATCTCCATCTCCATCTCCATCTCCATCTCCATCTCCATCTCCATCTCCATCTCTCTCTCTCTCTCTCTCTCTCTCTCTCTCTCTCTCTCTCTCTCTCTCTCTCTCCCCCTCTCTCCCGTCCAGCCGCAGTTTGTCTTGGAGCTCCCCAGCTCTTGCGGACTATTTGGACTGGGGACATCGGTCAGACGTTGTCGCGTGTGTGTAGGCATGGCAAGAAGCTGCCCGATGACATACGTTCGCTTTTGCAAACATGCATTTAGACAGGTAGATAGACGTTAGCTGGATTATCAGTAGAGCCGGCGAAGCCGGTGGACGGAAGTTTCTAAAGATTCTAAAGCGAGAAGAGTGCCTATTGGAAGAGCTTGGCTTGTTTTTTTTGGTCGCGTTTTTTTTTCTTCTTCTTTCTGGCTTTCTTTCTTTCTTTCTTTCTTTCTTTCTTTTTCGTTCATTATTTTTGTCTTTCTTTCTTTCATTATTTCTGTCTTTCTTTCTTGCTTTCTTTCTTATTCTTTTCTTTTTTCTCTTTCTTTTTCTCTTTCTCTTTCTCTTTCTCTTTCTCTTTCTCTCTTTCTCCTTCTCTTTCTCCTTCTCTTTCTCTTTCTCTTTCTCTCTCTCTTTCTCTCTCTCTTTCTCTTTCTCCTTCTCTTGCTCTTTCTCTTTGTCTTTCTCTTTCTTTCTCTCTCTCTCTTTCTTTCTCATTTCTTTCTTTATTTCTTTCTTTCTTTCATTTGTTATTTCTTTCTTTCTTTTCTTTCTTTCTTTCTTTCTTTATTTTGTTCTTTCTTTATTTCTATTTTTCTTCCTGATTTCTTTCTGTTTGCTTTTTTTCTTCACTGTCTTTCTTGACTTCTTTCTTTCTTTCTTTTTTTCTATGTCTCTCTGCCTTTCCCTTTCTCTTTCCATTTGATCTGTCTATCTATCTGTGTATCTATCTATCTATCTATCTATCTATCTATCTATCTATCTATCTATCTATCTATCTATCTATCTATCTATCTGCACCTGACCTTGCGAAAGTGCTGCGCCTGCCACGAAATCTGTACTTGACCTTGCGAAAGTGCTGCGCCTGCCACGAAATCTATACTTGACCTTGCGAAAGTGCTGCGCCTGCCACGAAATCTGTACTTGACCTTGCGAAAGTGCTGCGCCTGCCAAGAAACCTGTACTTGACCTTGCGAAAGTGCTGCGCCTGCCATGAAATCTGTACTTGACGCCTGCCACGAAATCTGATCTCGACCTTGTCTATGTATCTATCTTTCTGACCTTGCGAAAGCGCTTGGCCTGCCACGAAATCTGTACTCGAAAATGCTGCGCCTGCCACGAAACCTGCAGCTCAGGTTGCCAAAGTGCTGCGCCTGCCACGCCAAATAGGCCTCCGAACACGTTTGCGCGAGCATGACAGTGGGCAGCATTCCAAAAGCAGAGGTGCCCTTCGCGATTCTGCGTGCTGACTATCACCTGACCTTGCGAAAGTGCTGCGCCTGCTACGAAATCTGTACTTGACCTTGCGAAAGTGCTGCGCCTGCCACGAAATCTGTACTCGGCGCCTACCACGAAATCTGATCTCGACCTTGCTGATCTATCTATCTATCTATCTATCTATCTATCTATCTATTTATCGCCAAATAGACCTCCGAACATGTCTGCGTGAGCATTAATCACAGTGGGCAACATTCCGAAAACAGAGGTGCCCTTCGGGATTCTGCGTGCTGACTGACTTCACTTCTGAGTGCGTCCGGATCTTGTGATCTATCTATCTATCTATCTATCTATCTATCTATCACCTGACCTTGCGAAAGTGCTGCGCCTGCTACGAAATCTGTACTCGACTAGCGAAAATGCTGCGCCTGCCACGAAATCTGTACTTGACCTTGCACGGGCACAAAATTCTGCGCCTGCCACGACATCTGCACCTCAGGTTGCCAAAGTGCTGCGCCTGCCACGCCAAATAGACCTCCGAAGACGTCTGCGCGAGTTACAGTGGGCAACATTCCGAAACCGTGGCGAACCCGCACGCAGAACAGAGGTACCCTTCGCGATTTTCCGTGCCGACTGACTTCACTTCTGAGTGCGTCCGATCTTGTGATTCAATTTTTTGTATTACGGAAGTTTGCTTACTAAACTTCGTTTGATCATACAATCAGTTCACCAAGCCTCGATTTGGTTGACTTACCAACCAAGCGAATTGGGCCATCGAAAGCTTTTCTGCATGTTTTTTTGCCCCTTTGCCCTGCCACGTTTCGTCGCCAGTGGGCGGTCGCTATGGGCCTCATGGCGGCCCCTGTGAAGTGGCACTTCGTGGTGGGTGGCGTGTTGTGTGCAGCGCCTTGGATGGGAAGAGGGCCACTGATCAGTGGCCCCACTGGCCGCGGTTGCAGACGTTGGGTTTGGGACCTTTCCCATCTGTGCCAGACGCCGTTTTTGCAATACAAGGCTGGCGTACTGCGTGCGTGGTACGACCAGTTTATTACTCACCAGTCTGGGGGCTAGTGGGCTGCACGTGTGGGGTGAGGACTTTGTGAAATTGGTATGGCGGAGAAGGTGATTTTCGCAACCGCGATCCACTTCGCAAAGACGAGGCGGTATGTCTGCTATTTGGTCTGGTTTGGCTGTGGTGAGGTTCATCAGGCCGCAAGCCATGCAAGGGCTGCAAGTGATGTCAACATGTTCGGGGGGTTTGAAGCATTATGGGGTTGACGCGATGGCGATTTGACAAAGCTTGAGGTCTATGCCAATTGGCTCTCTGTGGTGGCTGCACAAGAAAGAGCCCCCGCAACCCCATGGCATATACGCCGTATTGGGAATCGTCGAGGCCGGCCTGAGAAAACATGTGGCTGAATTCGGGTTGGTTGCATTCCACCAGCCTTTCCTTTCCCTACGAAGGTCGCTAGTTCCTTTTTTGATGGGCAACCTCTTTTTATTTGACCCTCTAAGCGTTTAGCCTTCCTTTTTTCCAAGAAACACGTTCCCACAGGGTTCTGGGATACTCTTGTGCCTTTGCGCTAAGGCCCCAATCGGCGCGGTGATGGGCTTGGTGTCTATCCGAATGCTCGCACGGCTCCGCCGCCCCTTGGCCAGCCAAGCGCCAGTTTAAGGCACCTTAGATTTTGTGTGTGTTGGTTAATCATTGCTTTTGCACCAATTGTAGGAAAGCTTCCGGTCGGTGGGTTGATGCTCAAAAGTGACATGCAATGAACTCCTTGGAAGAGGAAGTGAGATTTGGGGGAAGCTTTGCAGTCTTCTTTTGTCTTTTGTTTCCAGTCGGCAGAGTTTGGGGTGAAATGATGCCCTTGCGAGTCAGATAGCAAAGGCTGCTCAGCCAAGATGCTAAGATGCTGATGGTTTACCGCAAGTCTTTTTGCGGTGCAGTGCTGAGCTAGTAAATGCGGAGGTGCGTCCTAATAAACTGCTTTTGCTCCAGAACTCGTTGTGGGCACAACATTTGGAGCCATTCTGAGGGTGGTTTTGTCATTGGCCGTTTGAGCGGATTAAGTTTTTTTCTCTTTTTCTCCGGCTCAAGGCTGGTCAGCTTGAGGGGCAAAAAGCTCGTGAAGACTGTTCCTTGCTCGGGCAGCCCAAGTTCTACTAAAGGGTTCACGAGGAATGCTTGGCATTTCTTGTGACAAATACGATGCCGCTTGAGAAGTGTGCCATTTGCTACCAGGCGGCACATGTGAAGCCTGGAAACATGGGTTGTACTTGTCCCTGTGGAAGGAGCAAACGGTGCAGTTGTGCACGGCCTTTGGATTTGCATGATGCAATTTGGGTGGGAAATCTAAAGGTCGTTCAGAAACATGGGGGGGCCCTGATCTGCAAAAGAGCTGGCTAGTTTCCTTTGATTCCCCTTTCACGATCCAGAAAAGAGACATCCGCTCACTCCCCTGCGAGCCTTAGGACCAGCTCTGGTGCGTCGAGAGTCCGCATCAATCCTGTCGCCCACGGTCAGTATCGCTTGAGCTGCTGGTGCCCTCGTCTGCTGCGCTTGGCTCATGGTGATGCGTTCCATTTTTGGATTTTCAAACTAACGGATGTATGGACACATTTTCCGTGGAGCATGGGCCGACAGCAGGCCAACGTTGCGACATGCATGAACCGCCTTCTAGCCAGCGGGAGCAGATTTGTTTTCTGTGGGTACCCCTTTAAAAGCAGCCAAGACAACGGGCGCGCGTATTTTTTGAGAGCAAGGGAGACGCCCGCAAGGACAGTTGCCACAAGGCCCACAAAGGCCTCGTGACCCGATTCAGGGCTGGCGCATTTGCTGCATTTGCCTCAAGCCGGAGGCGGCCGAGCACTGATGGCTCGTTTCTGCTGCAAGAAGCTCCACTCAAGAAGAAGCTTCCAAATCCGTTTGGGTGATGTTGAGAGGAAACCCAAGCACGTGCACTGGGCCTCAGTTCGACCCTGCGGTTTGTGTTTGACTTTTGGAGCTTCCTTGTGAGCCTTTGAATTTCTCGTGCTTGTTGGCTGAAGCCTTTTGAGGGCCCCCATTTTGGGGCTCTGGAGCCAATTGTCGGTTGATGGGGCGCCTGGCCTTGTCACCTCACCTTGTCGCCTTGCGCCACTCATCGAAGTCATGTTGTGCGCGCTTTGATGTTGGAGTGCTGCACTCGGTGCAGCCCCACTCCGCGCTCAACACCTTCCTGCGCTGGCATTTCTCCAACGCAATTGTTCGGCACTCGGTCTGCAGGTGCGCCTGGAGTCTAACCTGTCCAGTACTTTCCCAAGGCATGAATCCGGTTCGCAGGCCTCGCGCGCTTCCGCTGAAGATTCGCCGGTGGCAGACCAAAGTCGGCTGGCCCAAGACTCATTTGTGCAGACTTCAGAGGGCGGAGCCGTGCTTTCAGCCTATGCGTCCGTGCGGCTTCCGAGCCGAAGCTTGTGGCTGAGTGGGGGTTCTTTTCCAGGGCAGGCACGGCGCACATGGCTTGCAATCTTTTGTTTTTTGGAGTGTGAAAAGAGCAGTAGGCGTTTTCAGTGCCTGGCGGCATCTCTCTCTCTCTCTCTCTATATATATATGTATTTATAGTTTGGCCGGAACCTGGAAATGACCTCTTGGCTTGGTCTCCACGCAGACGCGCGTGCTGGACAAAGGGCGCGTCGTGGGGGTTTGATGCCTGGCTGGGGGCAAGGTGTACTTTGCAGTTGGCAAAGGCCCCCACAAGACATGAGACGCTTATCCCAGCGGCATGTACTTGGTTTCGCAGGTGGGTAGCAAGGGTCTTGAAGAGACATTTGGAAAGGGCTCCCGTGACCCTGGGCTGAGATCGGAAGCCTTCCTCGACGCCTGGTTTGGGCGCTGGCGTTCGTTCATGAAGGATGCAATGTCAAGGCCCAAGCACGGTCCGCTCAGTGCTAAGCGTCAGGCTCGGGTCAATCTTAGCTTAGTAGCTGATATTCCTTTGCGTGGGCCCTGGCGCCGTGCTTAACGATCGTGCCCACATGAAGATAGTGTGAAAACCCTTGTCTTAGCAACATTCGTACAACCATACCTCTTAGACCTTTTGGAAACCAGCCATCATTATTTGTTAGCTGTCAAATAGTACGCTTTTGCGCGCCAGGGGGGGGGCTTTTTCCCTAAGTTCTGGCATGTCCAAACATCACTTTGCTGCATCCTGCCGAGCTGCGATTTCTGAGAGAGCCGCTCGAACCCCGCAGCCCACGGGCTCGTCTGCAACGTAGCGCCGCGTTTGCCGCCGGTTGTTTGGCGGTGGCGGCCTGCCATGTTCTGGGTGCCGTGGCCAAGTGGAACGTGAGGTGGCTGCGGGCCTTGGTGTTTCAATTGGGCTGTTGGCAAGGCTCGCCTTACAACTGTGGAGGCTGTCGCGCACAGCAGGATTTTGCAGGTGGACTGGCGACGCAGGGGTGCAACCAATTTTCCATGCGCTCTTCGGAAACCAAGACACTTGTGCACACTGTTGTTTTGTTTCTTGGGGCTGTGCCAGATTGCTCAGACGTCGGTGTCATGTGCAGCCTTCCACGAGGGGAGTCCCCTTACAACGGCCTGCCACTCTGTCAACCCCCATGTATCCGATGGTTTGGGAAAGATATATTGCCACTTTTTAGAGGCTTTTTGGGCTTTGTTTTGAGGGGGACTCCCCCGGTCTGTCGCATAAGGCATGGCTGATGGCCCTGCCGCTGCTGTCTGACTCCATGCTCACGCTGGACAGCGACGGGGGCGATGCGTTGCGCCGGCGCTTTTGATTGAGACGGCTGGGGGTTGACCAATATTCCACCAAACCAAGCGTACCTTTTGCTTTCCGTGTGGGCCATATCCATATCATAGTGGTTTTCCAAAATGGTCAGCCCCTGTAATGGACCTTTTGATCAACCCCTGTTTGTCCTCCCAGTTGGGTCGCTGCTTTTGTCAGTGGCGGGGACGACCAGATGTTCGCACGGGCGCCAGGTCAGCGCGGCTGCAGCTGAAAATGGTCCATGCCGGCATGCAGAGGGACACCCTGCAGCTGAAGGCCACTCCGCGTTTCGCTGTCTCGGGGAGTTTGTCGGATGTTTTGTTGTTGAATGTAGACTGTCACGTACTTTGTCAGGAGTCGCAGGGGTTGGTACCAGTGTGAAGCAGCCGAGCAGGACACGTTCAAACAGCTAAGAGACCACAAAGCCACCCGCGCTTCAGGTGAGTAACGGCGAGCAGCAAGCTGGAAACTGCAGACTGCTCTTTGTTGAACTTTGTTGCTTTGCATTTGCCATGTTTGATTCATATGGCGGTGGCATTGCTTTACTCCCCGATGTGCTGCACTAGAATGCAGCTATGTGACGGGGAACACAGTTTCCCGTGATGAGTGCTATTTAGCAGCCATTTCAACCCCCCCTGCCCGCCCAACTGTGGATATATATAAATAGTGCAGTACTTGTACTTCTGTTTGTGTGAAGATATGAGCAACACTTTAAAGCCTCCGGCTCAGTCCGCCGACATTGTTCTTTGCTTTTTCTCCTGCTTCCTCTCTCTCTTTTCTCCTCCCCCGTGTGTTTTCTCGTCCTCTCTCCCTCTCTGTCTCTCTCCTCCCCATCCTCCCCATCCTCCCAATCCTCTCTCTCTCTCTCTCACTCTCTCTCTCTCTCTCTCTCTCTCTGCTTCTTTGCCTCTTTTTCTATCTCACTCTCTCCTGCCTCTCTATGCCTCTCTCTCCGTCTCTCTCTCTCTCTCTCTCTCTCTCTCCCTCTCTCTTTCTCTTTCTCTCTCTTTCTCTCTCTTTCTCTCTCTCTCTCTCTCTCTGCTTCTTTGCCTCTTTCTATCTCACTCTCTCTCTCTCTCTCTCTCTCTCTCTCTCTGCTTCTTTGCCTCTTTCTATCTCACTCTCTCCTGCCTCTCTATGCCTCTCTCTCCGTCTCTCTCTCTCTCTCTCTCTCCCTCTCTCTTTCTCTCTCTCTCTCTTTCTCTGCTTCTTTGCCTCTTTTTCTATCTCACCCTCTCCTGCCTCTCTATGCCTCTCTCTCCGTCTCTCTCTCTCTCTCTCTCTCCCTCTCTCTTTCTCTTTCTCTCTCTCTCTCTGTCTCCCTCCGCTCTATGTCTCTATCTTTCTCTACCGCCTCGCTATGCCTCATTCTCCTGACCTCGTGTCTCTTCCCCCCCCCCCCCCGGTGGCTGCCTCTCTTGCCTCTCTCTTTCCTGTCTCTTTTTTGTTTCTCTCTCTGTTTCTCTCTCCGCTTGTTTTTTCTGTCTCCTGCTCTGTCTCTTTCTCGATCTCGGTCTTTTTCTCTCACTCTTTCTCCGTCTGTCTTTCTCCCTCTTTCTCGCTCTCTGTCTCTGTCTCTGTCTCTGTCTCTCCCGCTCTCTCTCGCTCTCTCTCCTCTCTCTGTCTCTCTCTCTCTCTCTCTCTCTCGCTTCTCTCTCTCTCTCTCTCTCTCTCTCTCTCTGTTTGCATTGCAGCGTCATGCCCTCCCTGAGTTGCCTCGATTTCCGTGCACTGCCCCTTCATGACCCCTGAATTGTGTTGGTACTACTGGCTTTCCCCTTGATTTCCCCGTCATGTCCTTTTCATGTCTCGGCCTTTTTTGAGGATGTCCTGCCGCGCAGTATGTGGGCACCCCCCCCCCCCCCAGCCCCCACCCTAAACCCTACGTATCAGACGTCGGGCGAGGGGTGTAAGGGGGTATCCTCTATCCTCTCTTAAGTATCCGACACGCCTCCGTAATGTCGGCGGATACGTTGATTCTATCTGGAATCAGACGTGGTTGCAGATTTTTGCCGGCCGCGGCTTGCGTCGCAAGGAGGCGCAGCAGCGCGTTTTGTTGCGGGAGCTGAGCCGTGAGCGCCGGCGCGTTGATCTCGCGCAGAGGCGGTGGCTGCGGCGCTGCGCTTGCATTTAAACACATTGTGGCCACATTGGAGCCTCAACAGCGGCACAGCACAAACACGTGAAGGGGCTTCAAATGTGGCATAGGTTTCAGTAATTGTTCTTGAGGATTTTCGGTACTCGCATGAAGCTATTTGAGGTGAACAAAAACATCGAGATGTGTTACAACTCAATAGAGGTGCTGCCGGTGGACTGATGTCCCTTTGTTGGGTTGCCCATGCCTGCGGCGTTTCGGTGTCATGTTTTTGAGGGAGGCTCACGGATTCTCAGAGATTGCAACGAAACCAAGAAACACCACATCAATTGGCAGGGCCCAAATCTCCTGCGTGCAATCCCTTGTGCAGGCATGTGCGCACGCATGCACGCGTAGACATGTGTGCCAACAAGCATGGATGCATCCTTGTAACTATGTAGGCAAAAATGAGGAGCCACGCATTCAGGCGTGCAAGCACAGCACATGTGTTCGCTTGACGAAGTGTGTCAACAAAATGAGGGGCTTTTCTTTGATGATTTTCCCGAGGGGCAGCAGACACAAAGGTTACGGAAGCTATGGCCTTGAAGCTGGTCAGGCAGCTGAAAGCGAAGAACGCGTCAGTGGCGGACATTGTGAAGGAGATGTGGCCGAGCTGTGTTGAGGTCTTGTCTCCCAAGCAATTGGGGCCAATGCTTCAGTTTACTTCCATCAGGTGAGTAACGCAACGAGTCAAAGAGCACTCTTGTAGAAGGGCACTTTGAGTCGCTTTAGTTAGAGGTTGCATTTGTGAGGTTGCAAAGAGTCCTGGGCAGAGCCTTTCCCGCGCCCCGCTCGCTGCAAACAAGCGCCGTGCCAGCCAAGGAAATGGGGGTGGCACACACTTGTTTCCTGCACACTCGGACATGCACCTTTCTTGCCTTTCTGTTGCAGGAGGCCGCCCGGGGCAACCTCAAGGAGCTCCAATCCCAGCTGAAAGATTTGAAAAAGGGCCTGCACTACGCGCACCTCGGCACAGAGTCAAACCCCAAGGGCGAGGGCGGCAGGGAGTTTGGGACAGGCTTGGGGGCAAAAAGAGGGTAGATTCACGTTGCATGTGGACCCTTCACATAGGCTAGCAGGTGTCTTCACTGGGCAAGGTAGTTTCGAGCTTTGTGAAGCCCCATAGTTCGTATTCAGGGGGATATCGCCAACGAAAAGAACTCCCTGAGTGGGGGCGTCCTTCTCACTATATATTTACGGAAATGGCGCTTGATTGAAGCAGAAGGCAACTTGGTACAAAAGAGTTGCCATTCAGTTGTCCAACAACAGAAAGAGTCAGAAAGAGGGCACGTCCCACCAAGCAGCAAAAGCCTGACAAGCTCCACGAATCAAACCAGTCCACCAACGCCACGCACGAACCAACACTATGCACAAAAGAAACGCATGCAAACCCAGCAAGCCGGAACCGACCAATTGAAACCCGACCCCAACTGGTGAAAGCCAGCTTTTTGGCCCCAGGAAGGCCTACCTCAACGACTCCAAGCAGGAGCTCACCAACCTCACCGCAGAAGCGGCGGAGTCGTCACTGCCGGAGGCGGGGGGGCGGGGGGAGGTAGGCAAGCGGCGGGTGGTGACCCCTGATAAATCTCACCCTGCGGTTTTACAAGGAATCGCAAATAAGATAAATCTGCAAGCCCACCTCATACCATTGCTAAGTGTCCCATTATATTAAGTTCATATTTTGACTTTGGACACCAGACAGCATCGAACATGCCCTGGCATCGCCTGAGGGAGTTTTTTTTTTTTTTTTTTTTTTTGAGATGTGATGTAGAAGGCAAGAAGCTCATTGAAGAACACCGTTGACATCATAAGTAACATATTTCGAAGAGACTCATGGGCTTAGCTTCATTTCAAATAGTCTTGCTACTCCGGCTTCATCATCATTGCCGTGTTCATGCGGACAGTTACCCTAGTCAACTCATACAAGCGTTTTGCTTACTCACCCATGTGAATGGAACAGCATTGCTACAAGCAGCGGCCGGGGGTTAGGAGGTGCATAATTCCAGTTGGCAAGCCAAATTCTTTGCTGACGCTTGAACAAAGCACACCTTTTCTGGAGGTGTCCCTTAATGGACGTCCTTGAAATATTTTTTGCCCAAGTCACCAAGTTAGCCAATTCTATTCCTCCATTTCTCCATTCCTAACTTTCCTTTGAACCCGGTCGAGTTCTGTGAAGGGCTCAGATCCCCTCCGCGTTTTTGGTTGCCAGGAGCTGCGGGAGGCGAAGGAGGAGCGCCGGGCTTTGCAGAAGGCCGCCGCCAAGGCGGCCGCCTGTGGGATCACGTGGGGTGGGAAGCACGGAGCTCCCGGGAATTTCGAGTGCTGCTGGACATTTGGTTGTGTGGAGGTTGGCATTAGGTCGGAGAAGGTTAGATGAACAAAGTAAAGAATCTTAGGGTAGACGCGTAGAAAGTTCGGTGACAAATAGTTGGACAGATTAGATTACCAGGTAGCGAGGCCGTTTGAACGGGTAATTAAGCGTGCGCTCGGACAAGGCAAAGTATAAACTTGTCCAGGATTTCGCAACATGCATTGCCCCAGCTCACTGCTTTTCTGTCAGCACGTATGGTAGCGTTGATGGAACATGCCCCACATGTACCAACTGGATTCTCACCCCCCACCGCTTGCAGGATACCATTATGGCGGCAAAAGCGCCCTCATTTGATTGGATCTGCCCGAATTGGGTCAATTGATGTTGCACGTTCCTCCACGGCCAGCATCACCAATTGCCGGTGCGAGGCCACGGCTAAGGAGAACCGCATGTGGAAGAAGACCCTGCAGCATGAGGTGCGCTGGTACATGGGAGCTGTTTTGCGGTGGGTTGCTTGCTGGGACAAGATCACCCACACTTGATTAGGACGGATGCCCGTCCAGCCCGGCTTGGTGGTTGATAGGGCTATCGCAACGGGGGAACTTGTTCGTTTAGATCAATCATGATTGACGGTGGGTCTGGCCTCGCTCTGTCGGGTGTGTCAACCTAAGTACTTATCCAACTGATCACATACAATAGAATAAGGCACTCATGACAAAACAGTAGAAAAAGCAAATATGAGTACATCTTAAAAGCACATAGACTCATGAAGAAGATAGACAGATACATTATTTTGTGGCCTTTATCCTTTTTCACTGTCATCCGCCTTCGCATTTTTCCTTTTCCTGTTTGGTTTTCCATTGTTCCTCAGAGACAGACGACAGGTAATTGCAGGAATGAAAGGAATCTGGAAAGGATGGGGCTCTTGCTGGCAGAATACTAAATCCTAAGGCATGCATTGGGGAAAAGATAGTAAGAGTAGCAGAGAAATATTGAATTGTATTGATAGAAAGCGAGAGGGAGAGTACAACATGTTTTTGCTCCATTCGATATTGTTCCAGATGCCCCTAAAGAAGGAACGAACAAATGTGTGCTACAACATACACTTGTATGTATCATTGCAATCCTAGGTCCACTGCAGCATTTCGTGAAGGATCGATTCCTGTTGACCCACCTATGGTATAGCAAACCGTGATACAAAGAGAAGCGAGAAGACAACCTAAGTATTTCCATTGTGTAAACAAGATGGGTTGGAGAAAGATTTAAAACGCCAGTTAAAGACTCTTGTGCCAGTTGGCAAAGCTATTAAGATAGTAAATCCTGTGCTTGTTTCATTGAAGTCGCTTCGCGTTGCAAACGTGTCCAAGATGCATGCTCTGGTGTTCACGGCCCTTGCCAGGCTGGCTGTGTTTCTTCTGTCGTCGGCTGTTTTGTCTTGTTGGTTTACAACGAAAACTTTCGTTGTTTCACATGTTTTTGTTGTTTGCTTGTTTGCTTCGCGGGGGTGGGGGGGGGAGGGGTCTGCTGCACGGACGTGTTTGTTCTTTTGTGCTCGACGCAGAAAGATCGACCCCCGAGGTGGAGCTCAGTGACGCGCGCCAGAAGTACCGGGAGAGCCTGGAGCAGCCCGGGGCCCCAAGCGTCGACCTGACAACTTGCACAGTCTGAGAGTCTGTGAAGCCTGGATCAAGGTTTGGTTGATTCATGGGAAGGCTTTCCCAGACAGGGGAGCTGTCGTCTCCTTTTGGCGGGGGACAAACCCTATTGGTCTGCGAGGTTTGTCAACCTGGGACCCAGATTTCTCACTTTTCAAGTTGCAGACGCATTCCTGAGCTTTGGGAGGAGCCCCAAAGGCCCTTGCTGCAGGCAGCTTCTTCACATTTGTCATGTGGCGGTCAAAAAGAAGCAAGCTGGCTTCTTGGGAAGCGCTCTGCCTTGTGGGCAAAGCGGTAAAGGTTTGCTTCATCTGGGTAAAGGTGAAGGCTGCAGAAAGAGGCTTCTTTCAGCTGGAGTCACCGAGGCCAGGGGGGAGTGTTCCTCCATGGAAGTTGCCAAAGAGGGAAGCCACCAGTGCCGTAAGTGGGGGACCTTAAGGCTCGAGGAGCAGGAGGCGGCGCGTCCGAAGCAGTCCCGGCGCCTGCGCAAGGCGGGGGGCACTTTGTGACCTTGTGCTGGTTGATTGTCAGTGGGCTCACCTTCTCTATGCGGGGTCCTCATCGCTTTTGAAGGCGGAGGGCCTCCCATGGTCTTTATAATCATGTCGATAAATCTGGGGTCCCCAAAATGATCACCATCGAGGGCTGGCCAGGGGGTGAGCCTACAATGAGGTCTTGATGTGAGGTTGCTTGCTGGCCTGGAAGGTCTTCAAACACGGTCAGGTGTCACCCTCCGAGTGTCCGACCTTCTGCGGGGGCGGCAGGTTGCGCTCCTCCACCATGAGCCATAACCTTGACTTCTCGCGAAAACAGGAGTTGGGTTCGAAAAGAATGTGGCCTCGGTCAAAGCATGGGCACAGGCACCCGCTTGTTCTCCCGAAGCACTGATTGAGCAACTTACTGTAGTGTAGAGTCCTTGTCTTGGGTTCAGCAGATTGCAGCGAGGCTGGCAACTAACCTGCATTGTCAGTTCGGGTTCGTCATTTGAGTCCAATTGAGTGTCCTTTTGGCTTTCCAAGTCTTGGAGCCACGGAGTCTCTGATGGCCGGGGTTGATTGACGCTATATGGCTGCTCATTGCTGGAAGCTCGCGCAACTTCCGGCCTAGCACTGCAGGGCAACGAGTCTGCCGCCGAGGCCGAGATTGGGTGGGTTCATCAAGATAAACTTGTACTGTCCTACTGATTGCACAAGATGTTTGGTTTAGGCCGGCCGAATCTGATTTGGGTGAGCACACTTGAGAGTCTGAAGCGCTTGGCGAGTTCATGTGTTGGTTTGGGTCATGTAGGCTGCCTGCGTTGGTTCAGCGCCTGCATGAGGAGAGAGTGTTGGACAGAGACTGACAGAGACCATGCATGCAGGCAGGGGGGCAGGCAGACAGACGAACAGACAGAGAGAGAGAGAGAACCGACACAGGCACAGACACAGGCACAGACACAGGCACAGACACAGAGACAGAGACAAAGACAGAGACACGGAGAGGCAGAGACAGAGATAGAGATAGAGACAGACAGAGACAAACGGCGACGAACAGGCAGACAAACATGCCTGCATGCAGACAGACTTACCACCACCTACGCACCTACTTGTCTACTTACGCATGCGCACAAGCACATAGACAAACACATGCACGTACACATGCATACAGACAGACACACACACACACACGCACACTGCATTTCCATTTGCAGACACATGCACGTACATGTGCGTTGCATATGCATGCACTTGCACACACACACACATGCACATGCGCTCATACGCATACAATTAGACATCGTCATACACATACACAGGCGCATGCACATAGACACAACCATTTACACACGTAGCTCGCACGAGCGCACACACACACACATGTATATATATATATGGCGGAGTATATACACATGCATGTATGCATGCATGCGTGCATACAGACAGAAGGACGGACACACAGACAGACAAAGAGGCAGATAGGCAGACAGACAGGCAGACAGATACATAGATACATACAGGCATACATGCGTACAGACATGCATACATATGTATACATACAGACAGAAAGAATGACATACCTAGATACGGTACAAGTACACTCAGCACATACAGCACATACATACATGCATGCACACATACATGCATACATGCATACATGCATACATGCATACATGCATACATGCATACATGCATACATGCATACATGCATACATGCATAATGCATGCTTTCATGCATACATAGACATATGGATATGTCTATACATATTCGTATAAGTATACTTATATATATATATACATAGTTTCGTTCACAGTACATGTACATATGCATATGCATATGCATATGTATATACATATGCATACATCCGTGCGTGCGTGCGAGCGAGCATGTAAGCGATATGATTAGTATGTTGCGATGTGTTTTTTTCATGCAAATTGCACATGCCGTGTGTAGCCCAATAAAATCACACCCACACACACACACATATATATATATATAGTTGTATGTACATACATATGTTTGTCATGTACGTGTATGTACACGTATCAAGATTGACGTGTGTGTGTGTGGGTGACGTCATCGTGGCAGGCGGAGCAGGTGGCTCACAGCGGCCTGAGGCAGGCCCTTGCGCGGGGTTGCGACCGTTCTGGAAGGCCCTTCCAAACCCCGAGAAGCAACCGCCGGTCCCATCTCGAGAGTTCTCTTGTCTGGAGCCCAGCACCTTTTATACTTTGGTAACGTCTTGTTCTGTGGCCAAGGTCGCAGACCACTTGTGTGCCCACATGGACCCCCAAAAGTGGTTCCATGAGATGCCTTTGTGTGCGAGATCTTGGGTGGCGCTCAGACGGTGGGGCACATTGTCCTCTTGCTAGACTTGCCATCCGCCCGTTTCAAAAGCAGGCTTGTCCGCTTCCATGCTTTTTGGTGGGAAGGTGCGTTTTGGCTGTCTTGTTGGGTTTCGATCATTCCAAACCCCCTTTGTTGGCAGCGAGTTGTGAGGGCATGTGGCGAAGTGCCAAGGGACCTCCTGATCACCATGCTTCGAAGAGGCTCAGAAGCAGGGAGCCCCTCCAACAATGGCAAAACATTTGTCAACATTTGTCACGGCATGTTGTCAAACAGGCGAAAAGCGGCTGGGGGCAGTGATGCCAGAAGCCTGAAAACAAAACCGCATCACATGCCAGGCGTTCGCGTTTGACGGTGAGCGGTGACGACGACCGGAGACGTGCTAAAAAAAGAATTGACTCCTTGGGTTGCTAGCGGGTAACGCCCAAAGTGACGCAGCAGTTTCCATGTGCTTGACCCACAGTCCTGCGTGACGCCTTTCGAGCCAACTTTTACGCGAGCGCGCATCTGCAGCCCTCTGGCTGAAATCCTTTCCGCAGCCAAAGTAAGAGGGGAGCAAGTCTTTTGGGCCCGTCCTTGCGGGCCGCTACATTTTCCGGGGTCGGGAGGGTGGGGACCTCACCGCCCTTCCCGCAAGCGGCGCAGACAGTCGCACCATGGCCACGGCGGCCGCGCGCCTCCGACACCGCATGCTGGGCTTCTTCGAGGGAGGGGAGGCGGACCACGTGGCAGACCCACTGCTGGATGTGGTGCACCAGTACCCTGAGGAGGACCGGAGGAAGAGTTTTCTTGCTTTTGACAAGGAATGCACCTGTATTTACGTCTATTTGTGTATGTACGCGGATTTGGACGTGCATTGTCATGTGCGCAAGCATGTATGCATGTTATTTTTGTAGTATTCGATTGGTTGAGTGGCCACACGTGAACACGTACGGGTGGGGGGTGGGGTTTTGATTGGAGACGAGCACGCGCCGAATTCCAGGCCGCGTGGTTCATCAAGGTGGTCATGTTCTTTGGGAGCATCTCCGGGGTGATCATTTCCATCCCCTGCTTCCTGGCCTATGCTTTGCCAGCTTCTTTTGCTTCTTTTTTGCCTCAGTTTTGAAGCTTACGGGGGTCCAAGGTTAGTGGAGAGCCCTCAAAATAGCTTGGTGCCTTTGATCAGTCAGTCAGTCAGTCAGTCAGTCAGTCAGTCAGTCTGTCTGTCTGTCTGTCTGTCTGTTTGTCTGTCTGTTTGTCTGTCTGTCTGTCTGTCTGTTTGTCTGTCTGGTTTGTTGGTTTGTTAGCTTGCTGGCTTGTTTGTTTGTTTCTTTGTGTGCTTCTTTGTTTGTTATTTTCTTGTTTTGTTTGGTTTGATCGATTGCATGTTTTTGTTTGTTGGTTTGTTTCCCGGGCCCGATGAATGTGCAAAAGGGCCCTTTGGTAGGTTCCATGTTGGCGGACAGGAGGGTGCGTCTTGTGCTCCATGATTGCTCCTATCAAGGGATGTTAGATGTTTGACTTTCCAGACCAGCCCCGCGTCTGGAGGCGGGGTCTTCCTCACCATGTACTGGGCGGACTGCGGGCTGTGCAACCGGCCGCTGCGGTACTGGATCCTGGTGCACTGCGCTCTGCAAATGCTCCAGGCGCCGGTCAGGCGCGGAAGGCGTTCGGACCGGGACCTCTCTGGGCTTCCCTGGTGCTTGGCTTATCCTTTTCAATGGAATTCAGGGGACCGGAGAATTGGAGAGTGGGCATGCTCTTGAACTAGGTCTGCAATGGCTGTTGCTGTTGCCGCCAAATCGCAGGCTTCAAGTGAGGGTGGTAGTTACGGCCAGCGGTCTTAGGGGTAAGGGGAGCTGAAAATTGGTGGGATCCTTTTTGGGGAAACCGGCATCGAGACACCGATTTGGAAGGGTCGGCTGTTGGCACAAGCGCGCTGCCCACATGGAAGCTTCCCCAGGCTTGGGACAGGTCCTCGGGTGAACGGGGTGGGTGAGAGGGGCGGGAGTTCAGCCTGGGCAACTTTGACAAAGCCAGCCACCATTCTAGCCAGTTTGTGCTCGCAAGCTAGAGAGCCCAAGTTGTCTCCCACAGCCCGAAACCTGCAGACGACCCGTTGCAGGCTGGTCTTTTTCCTGCGGCTCTGCCATGTGCAGCGCATCAATGGAAACATCCAGGACGCATTTTTTGCAGGTGTAAAATCGGCCGCACCCATGAGACCTTGGGGCGCTGTTTTGGCTTCTCGTGTGAGGAGTGTGTGAGGCAGCTGACGCACAGCGCGGCGTGGAAGACCAGCAAGGTGGTGCCCTGATTCAAGTGGTCGAGGTGCCATTTGATCGAACGATTTCCATCCGCATAGGTTCAAGGCCGAAGGCCAAAGGGAGGGGATTTGGGTACGGTTGGTAGGGAGGGTGCAGGGTCAAGTCAAGCTCGGTTTTGGATGTGTGGGTGTTTTTTTTTTTTTTTTTTTTTTTTGTTGCGAGAATACGAAGATCGTGCAAGCAGTAGTGACGCAAGTGGCTGGGGGTACGATTTGCATCGACGGGGGGCCGGGGGGCCTGGTTAGATGTTGTGACGGGTGTTCTCGAGTCCCCGTCCGAGGTATCCATCATCACCTACGGGTGGTTCATTTTGGGTGTGGCGCCTCGGCTCGAAGTTGGCGATGTCTTTTGTGGGTATTTTTTTGGTTGTTGGTCTTTTTCGCCTAGCCCTGGCACAGGGCTAACCCTGGCAGGTGGTTGGTTGGTTGGTTGGTTGGTTGGTTGGTTGGTTGGTTGGTTGGTTGGTTGGTTGGTTGGTTGGTTGGTGCTGATGTAAGTGGTTCTTGAGAGGTTTGGCTCCTGAACTCGACCTACTGCAAGCCTTGCCCGGGTCTCTACCGGCTATCCCTGGCGGTTATTTTTGCAGCGGTGGCCAGGCACCCGTCGAGCTCCGACTGACTCGGGTGGTTTGGGCCTATGTTTGCGGAAGCTGATCTCTTTGGACAGCTGAAGCAGCAATTTAAATTTGATTTTAAGTAGTTTTTTTTAGCAATCCTAGATGAGAGGGAGGATCTGGAAGGCATCCAGTCGGTGTTCTTGACTATTGGAGCGAGGGCTTCAGGAAGAAGACTGTTCGCATAGGAGGCATAGAGTCAAGAGGAACCGCATTTTCCGGTCAAGCATCAGAGGCAAGTTCAAGCTTGGGGTTGCCGGGACAATTTTTAGTTATTGTGGCCCTTCCCGTTTCTCCCAGCGTGGCGCCGGCAACTAACTTGTCCCGTTGCACACACCCTGTCCGTCCAGAGAGGTGGCGGTTATTTGCTCATTGGTTTCCTGTTGTCTTCTTTGTCCTCTTTATTTTGATGTGGTTGGTGCGTATCAAGACTGGTTTGCTTTTGTAGGAGTTGTTGGCGGGGTAGGCTCCTAAGCCAGGCTCAAGTGGTTCCAACCCCAGGCCAGTTTCCATTGGTATACTGCATGATCATCCGCACCAACAGTTGAACCAATGTCCCGTAGCACAGCACTGGTTGAACTCGAACTTCAGTTGTTCCTCTTGTCAAAGTCTGGAGTGGGGGGAGTCGGAGTGGCACACGCGCTCGAGGATTTTGGATTCAGCAACTCGCGCGTAGGTTGCTGATGACCCTCATCGTCTTCTACCACTCCTTCCCCCCGCGTTTCCAGGGCCAATCCGCGCCCAAGCCCCGGGGCGCCAACCAGGCACAAAGAATCAAGAAAGTGCACATATACACAACACCAGAAAAAAAAAGGGGCAGAGACATGGCGCTAGCCGCCACAGGGCTTTTGCTGGCTGTGCGAGGAGCTCATCGACTCAATGCCACTCATTGTCTTCGTCCCGGAGACCAAGGGCCAGGACCTGTTGTGTTCTGCCGCTACGTGGGGCGCAGCACGACGGCGAGGGTGAAGAAGGGTTGGTTGTACCAACTCGAAAAGGCCGTTTTGTCCGCCATGCCGTGGAGGGGCAACATGTTTGGCCTGGTTGAGGCAAAAGCTTTGCTAAGCTTGTGGGCTCAAAAGTGGCCTGCTGGCGTCGCAGCGCTTTGCCGCCTGTTTGGAATTGCCTTTTCGACATTCCTGGTTCGTAATCTTTGTGGGTCGATGCCAAAGAAGAAGACTTGTCTGAATCAGGGTGGTGAAAAAGGCATGTTGGCTCTTCTGGCCCATGGTTCCTCGCTTTTAGTTGCTTTTGGCCCATAGAAGGTGATATTGTATGGCTGGGGGAACGGGAACCCCCGCTTTTCTCTTTAGTTTGTTGCAGGGTCTGCCGCGCAACATGTTCTGCTTCTGGAAGACATGTAGTGGCATAGTTCTGCTTAGCCTAAACCCGAATTCGTTGTACGATGCTTGCAAGAGGTTTGGAAGCGGAACAGGGCCTTGAGGCTTCAATACGAGCTTTGTTCATTCCTCAATTGGGGGCCCCGTTGCCTGCCCAAGCTGTGCAAACAAATAAAAATGCCTCTGGGAGCGCCAGGAGTCCGGCTGCGCGGTGTGCCTCAGCGACTTTGAGCGGGACTGCGTGCTGCGGCGCCTGCCCTGCAGCCACAGCGCCTCGGCTCGGACGCGCAGCGCCAGGCGATTGCGAGAAGGTTGCGTTGGGAACGCCCGGGCGGTTGGTTTTGTTTCAGTGGGGCCGAGTGTGGGTTTTGGGGACGGGGTTATGACCTCTGGACTTTTAGCTGTGGTAAGCATTTTTGGGACTGGTACTTGTGGACGACTTTCTGATTCTGAGTGGCGAGGCTCCTACTATTTGGATTGCGTTTGACAGGCAAACCCTCTGAAATCCCCTATGAATCCCCACGAAGCCCCCATGAAATCCGATGGTCGCACGTGGAAACGAAATCGGGGCGGAGATGACGTCACAGCCTCGATGGCTGCTACCAGCGAAGTACACCAGCCACAAACCATGCCAACCAACGCACAGGGTGTTGTTTCTTACCTGTGATGTTTTGCCTTCCCGGACTTGGCTTCTTTCGGGGGTGGATCTCCAACCTTTCACTTTTTGGTTTCAACGCGTAGGGCAGGTGGAGGGTAGCCCCCTTGATGCGCTCCAAGAAAACTTGGAGCTTCGTGATATTGGGAGCGACATGGGAAAAGTCGTCTTCCGGTCGTCTCAAGGCGGTTTGTGTGGCCCAGAAGCTGGCGCGCTTGCTCGGTTGTGTTGTGGTAGGGGCGCAAGGTAAAAAGCTCTGTCGTGCCAAGAGGCAAGAAATGGCGTTTCAGGTTCGAGGAGTCACTCTTCGCGCCAAGTGCGATGACGGAGACGGTGCTGTGGAGACTGCTGTAGCGGGTGTGGTGTTCTTTTTTTTACACGGGAGCTTTGCGGATCTTTCATGCGGGGATCCGCGGATGATGAAAGCTGAAGATACATGGCGCGACTGCTGTGGGATTTGTGCCCTCCGACTCATCGGCCGGGATGAGACTTGAGGCTTTCACCGGGGCTGCATCGACAAGTGGCTGAAGCGGAACAAGGTCTGTCCCCTGTGCCTGCAGGACCTGTTAGATGTTGTTTTTTGTTTTTCGTTTGTTTTGGTTTGGGAGGTGGTGTGAGTAAAGATGTTAGATGACACATGTTGGCAATGTTGAAGAATGGTGTCTATGCCGGTTGTTTGGATGCATTTTTGAGGAGGTTTGTGTGCGAAGGAATGTAGGGTGCATGAAACTAGGGTTCCCTTACTTCAACGAGAATAAACATCTCCAAAGACGCTTATCGCGACTATCCCTGGCTTAAAGGCCGGACCCGCATGAAACTCCCCTGAAGGTCCATGAGCACTTCTTTCCGATTGTTGTCTTTGCCTTATTGTTTCACCATCGCCGGCCGCCCTCTAGCTTTGCCACGACTTCGATGGGTGGCGTTAAGGGCTGAGAACCACTCTATGAATCAAAAGGGACCTGCGGCCAACACTTGAAGTTTGTTACGAAGATTGTTCCGCCCAAATCAGCAATCATAGTTCAGCCACAAGACGAATGCTTATCAGAGGCATGCTTTTGCTGTTGCCCCCCAGGACATTGAGACGTCACCGAAGCAGGGCAAGATGAAGTTAATATGATCCAACCGGCTTCGCACAACACGCCGAGCTTTTCTCTGCAGATGGGGCCCAGCTCGCGGCCTTGTGGCCGCCGGGCAAGTAAGAGTAGGCCCTTTCTGGCATTGAACCAATGAAGTTTGGACGTTTTCGCGGGTCGAGATTGGGGGCCCTCGACCCCGCCCTTCCTCAAAAAATGGGAGGGATGTGATCCCATGGCTTCAGAGACTTGAGACGGCGCAAGAGACGCGAGACGTCCGAGTGGACAGTTCAATCTGAATTCAAAGCGCTGTGACAGAGTCAAAAGCAGGTTTCGCGTGCACTGGAATGGCCGGGGCGGACCTGGCATGGGAACGAGCTTTCCCCCCGTGCTTGCTGCGGGAGCGCCAGAGTCAAGAGGGGATTCATCCAAAAACGAGCGTTTTCTGGATCCATTTCTTTGGTAGTTGTCGGGTGGGGACTGGCGTAGATGGACGCTTTCTTGGAGCCCGGGTGGAATCTGGCCCATGTGAGGTCCTAAAGAAATTTCCCACTTGGGAGAGATTCAGAGGGTGTCAGCATGAGGATGCCCGATGAGGGATCCACAAGAAAGCACATGAAATACTGATGTTCAAACAGGTATAGGTACGTAGGTGCATACGTACATGCATTTGCAAGTACGTGTATGTGCACAGACACACACACATACATTCGTGCACACATCTTGGTCTAACTCTCACGCACACATCGCACATATACGTCACATACATATATGTATCGGAAGCAGGTGGCGGCTCAGAAATCAAGTAAATCAACACACTTATAGATACATACTTTTTTTAATATCAATGTTTATGTGCACATACACGTTCATCAACATTTTGGGAGTGCCCTGCTTCCCAAGCGTCGGGGTGAGAAGCACCTGCAGGCGCGCAGTGGCCTCCGTGGCGCTGCCTTTGCTCCTGGCCAGCCTTTGATCCGACGGCGGGCGCCAAAAAAAACAGCCCCGAGGGCCGGGGAGGTGAAAGGAGCCAATGGCTGAAGGGTTTGGGAGAGAAAATGGCATGCCTTCGAAAAGGCGACCTGTACAAGTCAAGGATGAACATCTGAACGGCTTCGCCCCTTCTCCCCAAATGAGTGTTGATTCTCCCAGGAAAGACGCAGGGGGATGCATATTCATGAAGTTTGGATCCTCAGGGATGGATTTGATAAGTTCTTTTTTTGGACCTCGGACCAGTTTCGCAGACGGGCAAGTCACCCTCCAAAAAGGACGAGCCATTGTTTGTACCTTGAGATATATGACATGGATCAAAATAGTCAGCCGATTTCCCGCCTCTCCTTCTGCGGCGGAATGGGAAGGGGTTGGGATAAGGTGGAGAGGAGGCCGGGAGAAGCGTGGGCCTGGTTCCTGTTCTTGGCATGAGTGGACATTTGGTTTTCACCTAGCACTGGAAGTGGGCTCGGAAAGATAAGCCCCTCTGGACAAGTGAGGCTCCCAGCGTAATCCAATGGCTGGAGGCTGGCACAATTAGGAGACTGGAGCAACTCCTGGAATGGGCTGCGAAGCAAGTTTGAGTCATGTATGACAGGAACAGACGTGTAGGGTCAATATTGGATCACCACGAGTGCTGTAATCATCAGAGAGGTTCCCCTTAGGTAGAGCCTTGTCGGCGTCTCTTGCCTGGTTAATGCAGCGGGATTCTGCTAAAACTTCCTTTGGGCCTTCTGCCATCTCAAAAAAGGAAAGCAAAGCGCCTTACTCGCAGCCCAGGTATCGCAAGTCACGGACCCCTGTAGGCCCGGGATTGCGGCGATCCGACATCACAGCGTTAAGAGACATGAAGGGCCCACTCGCAGTTCAGGCCCCCGCATTTTCCAAGGGTCAAGAGGCAAGCCGTGACTGTTTGACCAGCGAGGGCGTGGGACACAGACACCTGCATTGGCTTGTCGGCTCTGGCTCCCTGAACGGGGATCGCCCAGCACAACTTGGTCCGGCCAGCGCCTCGGGACGGCGACGCGGTTTGGATGCCCCATTTGGCAAACATGTGGGCAGGACCCAAAATGGGTGTCGGATAGTCTTTGGGTTGGCATTGAAAGTGAAAGGGTACCAAAAGGAAACCAGTCTGAGAAATTGCAACGAGCTCACCTGGCAGCACAAGGAGCTCATCCATGATGAAAGTCCCTTTAGGGATTCCAGATTTTCATTTTGTGCGCCACAGTAATTTCCAGGAAACATGCCTGGGACCTCTATTAATGCAGGTGTCCTTGTGGAGGTATGCCAAGCTTTTGCAAACATGGGCAGTTAGGTTAAGGGATCGTGGGGTCGCCTGTGCAGACTAGCGAAAGCTCAGGGAAATTGTCGAACATCAGGGTTAAACTCTGAGTTGTTGCTTGGCAATGCCGTTCGGAAGTGCTGGTAGGGGTGTGCAGCGTTTGCGGCGCTCTGGGCTTGGGAAAGAAACCGCTCCACACTTGGTTCTCTGCCAAGGGAAACCATGGAGAATGGATTCTGTTGTTTTCGTACCTGTTTAACACCCAGTTGAACATTGATTGGTTGGGCCCAGTGGACAGAATTGGCCTTGCCAAAATGGACCATGCCAAGCAGCGCTTGCATCTCACAGGTGTGTGCCAGGGTTGTTTGACAAAAAAATGGTGGCCGTGGGCGGGTGAATCCACTTGTGTCGGGGTCTGGGTTCCGCGGCCGCGGCCTGAGGCTGACCTTTTTGAGGCACCAGACATGGCGGACGCCGCCGCGGTCGGGGCACCGGAAAAGGGGGGTGGGAGGGAAGTCCGGAGTCAAATTTTCCAACACGGATTCCCGTATTATTGCCTTTGGTGGTTGCAGCCGGATGTTGGATTGGAGCTCATAAGCATTTTCAGCCATTCAAAGGTTGGTCTTCTTGCCTACCCGACTTGGAGGAATTGCCCCTTCCAACAATCATGGAAGGATCCAGGCTTGTCGGTGGGGGTGGTGAACCTTTCATTTCCAGCAAGGCCCTCGGATAAGCAACAGGGAGGGGCCAGCATTATGACTAGGCTCACTTCGAAAGGAGAAGCCGGCGGAGAAGCCGGCGGAGAAGCCGGTGGAGGAGCCGGCGGAGAAGCCGGTGGAGGAGAAGAAGGAGGAGGTGAAGGAGCCTGCGGCCAAGTCGGACGCCAAGCCGGGCGACAAGCGCAAGGTGGGGTGGGGGGGGGGGCGACCAAAGGGCTGGAGATTGACCAGTGGCTTGGAGGTGCTGAAGTGCAAGAGCACCATTTGAGGGCCTCCTATTCACTAAAGCCTTCAGCCAGTGGGTGAGCAGCTGCGCAGCCTCCGGCTTTCAATGTACATTGGCTCCCCCACCAAATCGCCCGCCCTCTGCGCACTGAGCAGTGTTGGGATGCCCCGCTTGACGGTTTGAGGAGGCATGGTGCACAGAAGAGGGCGACCAGTCCACTTGCGTGGCGGCGTTTCCCACCCGTTCCTGTCGCGCGGAAGCGCACGCCAGCAAGAGAATTGACAGGGGAGAAAGGCGGAAGCTACGCGAAAGCCCACGCGTCAGCCCGTGAAGCCCAAACCCTGTCATGTTTTCGCCGCGCTGAGGACAAGCACGCAGTCACGCAGTCACACAGTCTGGCACGGCACGGCGCTATCCACACCCCAGCAGCCCTTGGAAAATGTACTCTGTTGACGGCAGGCTATGTAGGTGTGCTCAGTTCCTGCCTCACTCACCCTCCTACCCGCAGAGTTTGCACCCCGCAGGGCGGAGAAGATGTGTTTGGCAACAGGACCATCGCGTTTTGTCGCGGAAGCGCAGTGGAAGCCCAAAAAATGAAACAGGCCAGGAGAAATCATGTAGAACAACAATCAGAAGGGGGTATGAGCAAACAAATGAGACACCATTGCCCACGGACGGTGCGTTTCGTTCGTTGTAGTTTTGTGACATGTTGTTTGCTTTGTCTCATGAAGGCGGGAACTGACCCTTGTCACCCTTGTCTGTTTTCCAGAGCGCAAACATAGGGGATACTAGCCACTCGCTGCTTCAACGGTCCTGGGAGACGAGAAGGATGGCCCTGTTGGGTGGCAACTTGAGTTGAAGCCGCCACAATCACCAGGTCCAGACGGCTCGTCCGTCACTTTGGTTTCTCTTTCCGTTTTTTGGGGTTGTAGGGAGTTGTAGGGGCGGGGGGCGCACTCCGAAGACCACCCCTCGGTGTGAGCTCTCTGGCCCACCCAGAAAGCCACCAGGCGCCGGCGGGGGAGGCGGAGGCGAAGCGGCTGAAGCCCACGCCGCCGGAGCCGGGCATGGTGCGGAAGCAGGCACCCACTCGCCACGTTGTTTGCTGTTTGGGGGGGGGTTGATGTTGGGCGGTTCACTCTATATATTCTATATTTATTTTATTTTTGTCCCTTTGCAAGCAAGGACTGGCCCTCATGCTCTAGCCATTAATCTTGCTTGTTGACCTGGTCCAGACCATTTTGCGCACCTTTGCGTGCCACACGATGTGCCTTCGCTGGTGTCAGGTGGAGTACTACTTGAGCGATGAGAATCTCAAGTACGACAAGTTCTTCCACGAAAAGATCTCTGAGAACAAGGAGGGCTGGCTGGCCCCTTGGCGAAAAGACGAGATGTTGCTGCATACCCCGCAAAAGCTCTTCATTGCGGTCAACCTGCGCTCTCAATGTGGTGCTCCTGGGGAGTGCTGCTGCAGGCCTGAGGATAGCGCAGGGGAAACTATCCAAGGGCGCCAACAGGTGCCTCGTACGACCCCTGCAGTACTCACCCTTCCGCTTTTTGTTGTTGTGCGCGGTCCATGGTCCATGGACCATTTGGCACCAGGGTCAAGCGCCTTAAGGATCTCATGTCTGGCCATGAAGGATACAACAGCTCACAGGCTGGGCCTGCAACACAATGCTGTGCAACATGTTTGCTGTATCTCAGCAGGGGATTTATGTTCGCGCATTGCTCCCAACTTGGCCTGAAATCAAAGCGTGTTTGTGGCCCTCGCAACTCAGGCGAGCACTGCCGTTCAGCGGAGACCTATGTAAAATACGCGTTTCCAACAATTCTGAGACTTTCGCACCCAAACAATGAATTCTTGTGGATGTAGTTGCCCAAAAACGACTGCCATACGCGCGCGTGTGTGTGTGTGTGTGTGTCACACTATGCGCGTGTGTCAGAAAATAATTGAGCACCAATCACTTGCAAACACTTGCCAGACACTTTTACCGAGGACATGACGCTGATCCTGAGCTGCAACAAGATGAAGTCCATGCGCGCCACCAAGGACCGCCCTTAAGGGAAACACGACTTCTGTTGGGTGAATGTCTGGCCCCTGCAAGTTGTCTGCGCCAGAGAGAAGTGCCCAGGAGGATGTCGTGGCCTCGCTGAAGGAGTCCAAGATCGAGATCAAGGATGAACCCCCGGCAGGTTATATGCTGGTGGCGTTTCTGCCTTTCCTGATTTCACGGCCTTTCAGCCCTCAACACGCACACGGGAAGTAGTAGCTTGTTGTTGGTGTTGAGTTTGTCCGAGGTTGATTTTCCTATTGTCGTTGCAGCTGCAAGCATGTCTTTGCCCTAGGTGCAATCTAATCTCGGAGGGGGCCTCCAAAGAAGATTCCTTCAAATCATGTGTTTTGGGGTTCCATGCGGGTTGGCGCAAGGTAAGAGCCTTTCCACAAATCCATCTTGTTGGGCCGCTATGGCAGTCCTTTTTTGGATATGCACAGCCAACGCCGGCCATTTGCCCCTGGCCCTCTTGTCTGCCAGGGCAATGCGGTGCGCCGCCCGGGCAACGCGGCACTGCCGGCGCACCTGATGGGTGTGGGCGATTTGTTTGAGACAGCTCGCACTATCTTGCGGAGGATCTTGGAGAGCAGCGAAAGGGAAGGGACCATTCATTTTTCAGCCCCTGACCTAAGACCTGGCTGTGTTCAACGGGGTACCTCGTGGACTGGAGGTTTCTTGGGCCTGCTTGTTCGCCGGTCTTTGGCCAGGGGTCACGATCTCTTGGGAAGATGTTACGATCTCTCAAGGCTTGGCAGTGACTCTCGCATGGGTAATGGTACCTACCCTTGTGCAGGCTTCCATTTTGCCGGATTTACCCAGCAAGGTTGGCTTCCCTCAAGACGGGGCCCTTGGCTTGGGGAAATCGATGGAAGGCTCGGGGTCCAGCTTCTGAACCTTCCCGAGGCCCAAGCTGGAAGCCAGGCGGAGCAAGTCTTAGACCTGAGGGACGCGTGGGAGAAGTCAAATTCTCCTTTGGCCCCTGGGCTTGTCGCTCAATGGGAGAATCCGTCCGGCCACGCATCGTGTGGCTCAAACCACAGAATTTCTGCATGAGACCCCCCGCCCTAAGTCAGCAATGTAGGGATCCCACAGCGCAGGTGAGAGGTTCGTTAGCCCACTAACTTGTGCAGAAACAATCGCAAGCCGCTTCTGAAAGGATGGGTGTGAAATAAAATTGCTTGAGCACTTGATCCTTGGAGATATTGAGCCGCACCTGGTCAATGTTTGATTACACATGGTATGAGCAGTTCACCACTTTCTGTTGGGTTGAATGTCAGTCACTGCCATAAATCGAATTTGAAGCACCTGATCAATTTGCAAGGTGCTTGTTGCAAAGAGAGTTCTGGGTGCACCCACAAAATCTCACAAGCACGCCGTGGCTTAAGCTCCAAGCCAACTCCGCCGAAACCTGGAATTGCCTTTATTTTGGGGAGGGCTCGAGACGGAAACCAACAACGGGCGTCATGGGGAGCCTGAGGGGCTGTTGGCGGGGCAGGGCTCAAAACAGGATCTTGAGTGGGAACTGGGGTTGGAGCTGTTGGTTGTTGCCTCTAGCTGGGGGGCATGCAACGCGGCCCCAATATGTTTACCATTGTAAACGACCAACGCGCACTTGTTTTGAGTTGATTGGCTGGCTGCCTGGCATTGGCAGCTCAAGATGGTCTCATGGAGCCATTTCAGGGAGCTCAATGGGAGCGACAGCTGTCCAGCGCTCGGATGAGCGCATCTACCGGCATCGCGCCAGGCCTAGCCACGTCAAGAAGAACTCCATCCACGCTCATGATGGCAGCCTGGCAGAAAAGCAAATGGCTTGTGCTGTTCAAGGCAGAGGCCCTTTTGCTGGGCCAATTGACTTGAGCTGTGTTAGCATGTCATGAAATGTAGGGCCGCGGTTTGGCGATGATGAAGCTTCCCTGGGAGCTGGGCGGCCGGGCCTTGACGAATCACACGGCGCTCATTTTCAATTGAGCGACGACACCTTTATCCGTTCGCCACCGTAGATCCCTTAAAGCATGGTAAGTGGGTGCCCCCCTACTGCAGGTTTCAAGCATGCCATGACGTGTGGCAAGCAATCGAAGGTCAGCTCAAAAGATTCAAGGATACGCATTCATCCACTGCAGCAGGTAAATCCATAGACATTCCGAGCTATAGCCGCTGCCCGTGTTTGCGCTCGCGCAATGTCATTTCCATCGCGTAGATGACACCTCTCCGTCCAATATGTAACACACATACACACAAGTCCACTCGGCATTTATTGCTCCCCATATTTTTCTCTGCTTAGGAAAGCACCGATCATGATTTTTCGAGATTCGGTCATTCTCAGGGTTACCAGGGGGAGACCGCCCGATTGCCAAGGAGTTAAAGCGGTTGCTGCAAACGAAGGCCTCGTAGGCCCAGGCTTATTCAAGGCTTGTCCTGGGCTCGTGAGGGGCTTGCCACGGGACGGATGCCCCCTCTGTCCAAGTATTCTTCTGAAGCCTTGAGTGGTCTTACCTTGCCACCAGCCGCTGAGGTGGGGTGGTGGCCATGTTTAAGGGCGTGCCCGAAGAGCAGCAGTGGTCGCAGGTGAAAGCCGCAGTCCAGGAGCCTTCTTGAAGGGTTGCGAAGATGGGCCTCCTTTGTGCTGCTGACCCTCGATGAACAGCCCAAGTCAAAGGTTTTCTGCTTCAGCAAGCTTTGCCGGATTTTCATCGGGTTGTTAGTGGGAGTGGGGTGGTCTCAGGATGCATTGGTTTGCCCAAACACTTCTCTGATGGTTTGACGTCCCAATTTTGCACTAGAAGCCATTTGGAAGTCACTTCTCAAAATCCCAGCCACTGCGCCCCAAACCCGTCAAACGAGCCTGCCACAGCGAGAAGTATGGGCCGAGTTGCCGACTGGGCAATGGCTCTGAAGCTGGGGCGAGTGCATGGGGAAAGAAGTCAGCAGCCCTAGGTGAAGCTCTCCAGGAAAGCCTCTCAAAGGAACTCCCTGCGGGGACCCTCCGGCGTTGCACCGTGAAAGCTCAAGTGGGGCCAATGCCTATACAAAGGGACGCTCACATCTCGGTTGTTTCGGGGCGGGGAAAGCGTGGCCTTGTTCCCAGGAGAAGCTGCCTCCGAAGGTGAGCCTCTGGCATGTCAGCCAGGTGAACGACAAGAACGCGCCGCGGCCAAACGGGGAGGGACCCTGTGGTGGTGGACCGGGGCTGGGAGCCCACTCTCCCTCTCTCAGTCTGATGGTTGGGCTGCCTTTGAGGTCCTAGGTGTTTTAACAGGTTGTCCTTGAAAAAATCGGATCAACTTGGATCCTCTTCATGCAACTGTGTAATGGGCTCCTCTGAGTCGTTGGTGTCATGTTTGTTTCCTTGATGACTAGTTGGGTGTCCAACTGGTAAGATACGGCGGGCGTGTGACCATGTGTGAACGAACTGTGAATAAGTATGTGTACAGGTGATTTTCTTGAACGACATCCCAAAATGGAGTTTCCAAAAGGTGGATGCACAGGGAAGCCAGATTGCTGCAGCGAGGGGGGAGGTTGGAGACAATATATGGCAAAATAGGGGACGGTAACCAAAAGGGTGGTTTTCCTTTGCGTTCTCTTCAAGCAAACCTAAAAAGGGTCGTACTCATTTCACCTCCTCCCGCTAAAGATAGTCGCTCTCCTTCAGATTTCTCAGAAGGAACACCACCATGATTGGGCACGTCCAGTCCCCCTCCCCCCCGAAACCAAAATAATGTGTCCTGTTTTTCCCCCAACGCCAGATAAGGGTACTAAGCCTCAAAACACAGAAACCCAACCTGAACACCACAAATCACGGCCAAGGAGTGCACCCTGGCCTGCGCGCCCTTCGACGGGGACCTTGCCTTCTTCGAGGAGCTCAGCATCGAGCACGGCTCCGAGCGGGGCGGAAGCCCTACCCCCTTCCCCTTTTGGGCTGTTTGGGTGCCGAAGAAATCGTAAGTTGTTCACCTCCCCCATAGGAAGGCAAGGACCTTTTGCCAGGTTCCGTGTTTGGAGGGGGAGGGTGTTTTCTGTCATTTTTCCTCCTGGTTCAACTGATCTTTGGGTTTCCCCTTCTTTTGCCTGCTTGAGGAAAGGTACGCCTTGTATTGTCCGATCCTTCGGGCAAGAGGGCAGCCAGCAGAGAGGGTTGTCGCTTTGAAGAGACTACACCTGGCCCGACATTCTGGGATTCTGTTCTTTGTTGACACTGGTTGCTGGAAATGTGGAAAGGGCCTAACTGATCTCAATGACCGCTGGACACTGCCAAACTGACGAGGCCATTCTCGATATTGGCTTGCTGACACTTCGGCATTTTTGAGCCCCAAACTGCCTCATCTATGCGGCTTGCAGTGCAGGTTGGGCGGCGCCAAGATGACGTGCGAGGTCTGCTTCGGTGAGCCTCTGCAGAAGGCGGTCCGGTTCAAGGGCTGCAGTGGGATCGTTTATCCGAACGCTTACGTTGCTCTACGAACTAATTCTAGAAGCTCATGAAGCCCTCAACGTTTTGGGGTGCCTCGCTCTTGGGATTTGGGGGGCTGGGCGTGGTATGGGCCCCCCGGATTCCATGAATCCTAGCTGCATCCACGGAAGAAAACCGGATCAAGCTTTGGCCAAAACGAAGCGCTCTCCAAGGCCATCGGCGCCGCCGGTGGGTTAGTCAGTTGAACAGTTGTGTTGGCAATGCCGTGGTTTCTCGAGCCAGGCGCTCAAGGACATGCCGAAGCACATCCGCGACAAGCGGGAGAGGGAGTCGCGGAAGCGCCAGAAAGAGAGGCCGGGAGACCCCTCCCCTCTTCAACTCCTGGTGGTGGAGGCCAAGTAAGGGCCCTGCTGGCTTTTCAAGGGATCTGGGAGTTGGGCTCAGGCTTCTCGGGAGGTTTGCGGGTCGCTGTTGTGGCTGCGGATGGCTTAATTTCAAAGAGCTTGAGGAGTAAGCGCAGAAGGTCTCAGGGCAATTGTTCACTATGTCTACGGTTGGTTAGAAGCAGCAGGCACGTGCTGACTGTAGCTTGAGGCGGCATGTGTAACTTGTGAGACAGGGCCGGCGGATTTTATTTGCACATCTTGAGCATCCCTGTCGGAATTGGTCAACCCGACCAGAGGCATCCCCTGAAGTTCCAAGTCACTCTTCGGGAAGTTCACTTGTTCTTCGGGAAGTTCAGTTGTTCAATTCATTCACCAAGGCGCATCTACATTCGCAAGCAGCTCCGTTTGAATCAAGTGTAGTCTCCCAGCCGAATCAGTTCCAAGTTCCCGGAGGAATCGTCCCATCAAGCTGGGCTCCTGCCACTTCAACAACGTCTCCATGCTCCGGGGCAGGGTGAAGGACTGCATTCACAGGCAAAGGGAGGTGTGAAATTGGGGTGGGCTGGTTTTTTTCTCCTTGGTCGAGGGGAACGGGTTTTTTCATTTTTGTAAGGATCAAGCATTTCAGCTCGGTACACATGGTGAATGCTGCGAGGGGTGGGGTTGGGGGGGTTCAGTTATCCACTGGAAGGCAGAAAATGCGCGAGATGTTGAAACCAACGTGGAACCATACAGATTCCAAAAGCCACCCACCCACCCAACCTACCCACCCCGCCCGCCCCGCCTTGCCCGACACAAGAAAGCAACCCCCCCCCCCACAATGGGTGTGCTTTGGAAATTGGGCTTGGGTGCGGTCTGCTAGTTGCGGCCATCAGGGGCCAAGAGAGGCTGGTGAGGGGTTTGGGCATGCGCAACTCGCGGGCGCAGGAGATCCTGAACTCGCGGAGCGACGGGGAGCAGCTGAAGCCTGACGGCAGCGACTTCAAGCTCATCAAGAGCCTTTTGGAGTTCCACCCCTCCACAGGCTGTGGGCGCGGGGAAGGGTACGGGAGGAGGTAACGATGTCTGAAAGTCAGTGGGGAAGGGAAGTTGACATCCTTGGCTTGGATTCGCATCCCCGATTTATTTTCCATTGGTTAGGCTGTGGCCCGAAAAGCTCCTCTATGTCGAGGACACTTTTTGGGGGCCTGCCCTAAGCAACCACTTGCGTCAAGCGCTTGGAATTGGCCTTGCGGGCCCTTGCAAACTCAGCGGTGATCTTGGCAGCAACTCATGCAACAAAGGTTGCCTGACAGGTTCAGTTTTTTTGTTTTGTTTTGTGGTGCTTGCCGGGACATGACATGGGCACCCGCCTTCAAAGCAGGTTCCCCAGATCTTGTCAGTCAGCCCCGTGAGGCAAGAGCAAGGGCCTGGTGGGCATCAAAGTGGCCCGCAGCCAGCAGGGTGACAGCCGCCCCTCGCTGCAAGGGGCGGTGGAGGACAAACTTCTTGGGGCCTGAAGTCAGGTTCCATGTAGTTGGTGGGAGGCCACCTTTTGGCGCCCCTTTTCCGTCCAAACCGATCTTTTGGTTTCCAAATTCCAGAAGAAGAAAGCTTCCCTTGTTTGCTGGGAGCAACGCCCTCTCACTTGCCCAAGTGACCTCTTTGGGGAACCCCCTTTTTGGGATGGCAACCACGCAGCCCCACACGGGACCCAACGTCTGACAGCCCCCTCCGGGGGCAGAGGGCATAGACCTGGCCGAGGTTGCTTTTACATGATCAAGGAGGACGGCGCCGAGGACCCACATCCTGAACCTCGGGCTTCGGCATTTTCTCCCTGGCGCAAAAAGACGCCCACCCAAAATGCTTCAGTTGGTGGGCCCATGGCAACCACAACCAGCCGCAACCAACACGGATCCGCCATGTTGCACCCGGACTTCAGGAGGACTTCAGCGCCAAGAAGTGCCTGGACGCGGTGGAGCTGAACCCCCCCTATGTGCAGCCCGAGGAGAAGACAGGCGCGAGTCGCTTCTGTTGCCCACTGGGCACGAAGCAAGGTTAACAAGCCAAGCAGATGCAGTGCGTGGCCAGGTGACAAGAAGCCGGCGGCGAAGGCTGCAGGAGCTGGGTGTGCGGACAAGCAATCGTGATGACTGATATTTGCTAGCTGCTAGTGCTGCCAGTTGCCCTGCTGACTATTCAGGGTGTCTAAATCTTTTGCTGTAAGCGATGGCTTAATTGCAAAGAAGGGACATGGAAGCACTGGGAAGCAGAAACTCGGGCCCAAAAGGCCCCTACTTGCTGAGCCTGGTGAGAGTTGGATGCACTGTGCCATGCTTGAGCACGTGCGCCCTTAGTCACAGTCGAGTCAAAGAGGCCTTGGCCAGCAGGCATTGCGTGTTGACCCCAGTTTTTCTTTTAAGCGGCAAGATCAGTTTGGTAAGTGGCGAATCCTGCCAGCCAGTTTCCCAGAGGCCGGCAGGGCCGAAATCCAACTCCCGGTGCGACTGTGCTTGCAATCTGCAGAGGGGTTATCAGCGCTTGGCTTTGCCGTTTGTTACCCTGGAGCTCCCGGAACTACCTCCCTCCCTCCCTCCCTCCCTCCCTCCCTCCCTCCCTCCCTCCCTCCCTCCTCCCTCCCTCCCTCCCTCCCTCCCTCCTCCCTCTCCCTCCCTCCTCCCTCCCCTCCCTCCTCCCCTCCCTCCCTCCCTCCCTCCCTCCCTCCCTCCTCCCTCCCTCCCTCCCTCCTCCCTCCCTCCCTCTCTCTCCCTACCCTCCCTCCCTCCCTCCCTCCCTCCCTCCCCTCCCTCCCTCCCCTCCCTCCCTCCCTCCCTCCCCTCCCTCCCTCCTCCTCCCTCCCTCCCTCCTCCCTCCCTCCTCACCTCCCTCCTCCCTCCCTCCTCCCTCCTCCCTCCCTCCCTCCCTCCCTCCCTCCTCCCTCCCCTCCCTCCCCCTCCCTCCCCTCCCTCCACCCCCCGCCCCACACCCCCCAACCCAACCCGAACCCGAACCCCCCCAAACCCAGACGGACCCCGAACCCAGACCCAGACCAAGACAGACCGGCCAGACCCCCCCCCGCCCCAACCCCAAAAAAAGAGACGAACCGAACCCGATCAGACCCGAACCAGACTCGAACCCTGAACCCGAACCCCCCCCGCCAACCCGAACCAGACCCGAACCCAGACCCCCACCCCCCCCCCACCAAAAAAACGGCGGGTCGAACCCGAACCCGAACCCGATCGATCCTCCCCCAACCCGGAGCCGAACCGGGCCAGAGCCCCCCTCCCAAAGCCCGAAGACGGGGTTCCAGAGCGCAACCCCCAGCGATGGGGACGAACAAGAACGACCAAGGCGTGCAGCTCCGCCAAACAAAAGGCCCGCATGAACGCTGGCAGGACAAGAACGACGAAGAACGTCGGGCTTCGCCAAACATAGCACTGAACAAGAACGACGGAGAACGCCGGGCTCCGCCAAACAGAGGCGGGGGGGTTGGGCGGGGCGCAGCCCGCCAAACATAGGCGGGGGTCCCGAAGGGCGCAACCCCGCCAGGCATGGAGGCACAGACAAGAACAACGAAGAACCGGGCTCCGTTAAACATCGGGGGTGGGAAAGAGAGGCGCAACCATGATAGAACACAGAAAAAGAGCGACCAAAATGATATGGCTCCACCAAGCGGGGGCTGCAGGGGAACCTTCGGCCCATGGAACGACAATGGGAACTTTGAACAAGAACAATGGGCTCGCGTTAACCGTAGGTGATGCAGCATCTTGACACTCTTAATGAGGTATCCATGCAGACCCTGCATTTTGGCTCAAATGGACAACACTGATCTTTGATAGCAGTTTCCAGAATCTTTTGATACATATACTCAAAGCCGTATGCGCTTATCTCCACGGCACAGTGCCTTGTATGAGAGCCAAGACACAAACAAGGCCTCCATGGCAAAGTACCTGGCGAGCCTCGTGAAGAGGGAGGAAGAAGGATGGACCGTTTTGGCTGCTGAGGTCCCTCAGGCACCTGACGAGCGTTTCTTCTCCAGCGCAGATGTGCTGGAGCAGGCCCCCCTTATCCCGGCCAAGCGCAAGGCAGAGGATGAGCCGATGGAAGATGCAGCCCCTGGGGTGGCGCAGGTGCCGAAGGCCCTGACACGCCCCCCAGGGGCGTTCCTGGAGCTCCTGAACCCGCCGGAGGAGGACGTGCCCATGGAGGAGCTCCGGGCGCAGGACGAGAAGGAGCTGCCGATGCCCAGGTCCCCCTCGGCTGCAGCCCGCTTGGAAGAGACCCGCCTGGATGCCCGGGCAGACGCCAAGTGGCAGAGGCGCCGGGAGCTGATGGCGAAGGTCAAGGGGCAGGCGTCCTCGGAGGAGGATGAGAACCCCGCAGCCCCCCCGCCGGGGGGGAGCGTGTTCACCAAGGCCCTCAAGGTCTCGGAGGGCCTCTACCAGTTCAGCGACGACCAGATGGCGGGCAACTTCCCTTGCTTCGATGCGACCACGGCCAATCGGCTCCGCCGACTGCAGGCCAGGGACGTCCAGCGGCTCCTGCGAGGCTTTGAGGGCCCCCAACTCAAGCAGGGGGGCCTGGAGCGCGTTGTGGAGGCCTTCTACATCGCCAAGATGAAGTACGAGCATGAGGCCCGGCTCAGCACCCCGGGACAGCAGGTGGGCAAGCGCGCTGGCTTGGGGTACGGGGGCCTGGAGAACCGCCCCCTGGGCAAGGTGCCCACATCCTGGATCTGCCCCTGCTGCACCATGCCCTGGGTGAAGTAGGGCGCCACGAAGTGCATGGGGTGCGGCAAGAAGACGGAGCCCATTGACATGGCGACCAACTCGGCCACCCTGGAGATTGCAGGCACGCATTGGCAGGTGACGGTGGATGACCAGGGCAATGCGGTCTGGACGGCGGCCCGGTCCGCAGGTGCCGAAGGCCCTGACACGGACCGGGCCCGCGACCTCAAGCTCAGTGCCTCGGTGGACGTCAGCGAGCTGGCCACCGACCCGATGGCCTGCGAGAACCCGGACCAGGCCAGCTTCTCGGACTTCGTCCCCTCCGGTGATCAGGAACTGCCCCATGGAGCTGGACGAGGAGTTTCTGACGGCCCCACCGGGGGAGAGGCCCCCATTGCCAGGCGACAAGGAAGAGGGCCAGGAATGCAGAGCCTTCCCCCCGTCTGCGGTGAAGGCCTTCAAGATTCAGACCCGGCTCAACGCCACCACCATCGCCCAGGAGGAGGCCAAGAAGGCGGACCAGGTGGAAGCGGTGGAGCGCTCCGCGGCGGTCCTCCACGAACTTCCAGGGGGGGCCATTGACGGAGGAGGTGATGGAGGCCTGCTCCTGAAGAACCTGGACTTGGACCTCTTCCGTGAGAAGCTGCTGGACAAGCTGGGTGCGGACTGGGGGAGACCCACACCGGAGCTCCTCCAGGCCCAGACCACTGCGGAGGAGGCAAAAGCGAAACACCAAGCCAGACAGGCGAAGGGGTCCCTCGAGACCAGGATGCTAGCGCCCATCGCGCCTCCCTTCAGTGCGTGGCCCAGTGAGGTCCGGGTCGCCATTGAGACTGGGGTCTTCGAGCCGACAACGGCATGGAGGGACTTCAGTATGGACGACCTCACATCGCTCACGGACTCCTACCTTGAGGCCAAGGCGGTCATCTCGCTGGGTAGGAATCCCTTCCCGGCGGCCCTCCTGTCAGATCTGCCGGACCTGGCAGGGATCCCTATGCCAAAGGTGGGGGGCTCTGGTGCGGCGCGCCCAGGTGCCGAGGGCCCTGACAGGCCGCCCACCATCTCCTCAGCCTCGGGCTCTGGCGCGACGAGCTCAGGTGCCGAGGGCCCTGACAAGCCGTCCGCCACCCCGGTGGGCCTGGACACCAAGGACCCGGAGGTGCAGCTCGCGGTCCTGCGCTGGATGATGAGCAAACGGGTCGGAGAGGTCCGTATCTTTGCGGGCCGCTGGGTCCGACGACCGGGCCCGGTACACGTCCCGGATTGGGCGGACAACCTCACCAAGGTGGATCCGGAGGCGTTGGAGAAGGGTACGCATCCCAGGAACCACCAGGTGGGTGGACTCCCCTGGGCCAGGTACTCCGTGGATGAGTTGAACCAGCAGGCGAAGGCGGGGGACCGACCCTACCCTGGGGACCTGCGATCCATCTTTTGGGCTGCCCCCCACGATCCGGAGGAGGATTTCCACTGGATTCGCCAGATCTCGTCCTGGACACTGGGGATGTTCGGGCACAGCTACACCCTGCGCCAGCTCTGGGGAGTCTGGGAGTCTCTGCCTCTGCTGCAGGGCCCTAGGCAGCGGGGCCCGAGAAACAAGGCCCAGAATCAGACCCGCCTGGAGAGCTGGGAGACCCTGAAGGAGGACGCGCGGTGCTTCCTGAAGGAGGAGGGCCTTCCGTTTCCGCAGACAGGACCGGAGTGGCGATTGGTCTACCGGGCCATGGGCAAGGTCCTCGCGGCCCGGGCCTTCCTCACGGACACCCCGGCGGAGGTGAGGCAGCTCCCGGTCCAGGACGTGGCGGACTCCAAGGAGCAGATGATCCTGCGGGCGGTATGCGACGAGCACATCTCGGTCCCGGTGGAGAGCCTCCAGCAGTTCCCAGAGGTGTACAAGGCCCTCATGGACCGCATTGGAGGCCCGGGGGCCCTGGCGGAGGTGAAGGTCAACTGGCGCTGCAACACGAAGCAGTGGTGGGTCGGCGCAGTCCCCGACTCAGTGGCCCCCTCCATCTACCGCAAGCTCGGCTACACCAACGACATGATCAAGCTGATGGGCCTGGACCCCTCCGCCCCTGGGTGCCGGACAGGCCCTGACATCCGCCCCAGGGGAGGCGAGGGCGATGAGGGGATCGTTTACCCTTTCATCATGGCGGACAACGTCCACGGCGTGGTGGGTAAGGACTACCGGAAGAAGAACTATCCGGTGGAGATGAAGCATGTCTTCTGGGCGCACATGGAGTGTGGCCTGGTCCTGAGCTCCGTCACCCCGTGGGAACTCATCCCGAAGACGAAAGGGGAGACCCGGGGGGGGCTACATGTGCAAGTATTGCAAGGGGTACTGGCGTGCCGGGGGAGGGGGCACCCGCCTCCTCCAGATCCGGGCCGGCAAGGCCA